CAGACAGGGACCCACATGCGTCGACCCTTCTCAGGGCCAGGTAGCTCTGGACGAGCATCCAGCCAGCACCGAGCGGGAACCCAATCTGCCGACAAACACTCGAAACCACACAGGATGTTCTATCATCTCGTAACGCGTAATCATGTCTAGCAACATTGACACATAATGCAAACCTCTCGCCTTCGATATCTCTGCAGCGCGATTCAAATCAAGGAGGGAATCGCTCGAGCCCCCCCCCCCCTGCCCGCCCCCCGGAACGCCTCCGCCCTGGTGGCGAGCTCCCACCAGACGTGAGCGAGGGAATCGAGAAGGGCCATCAGCCCGTGGCCCCCGTCCGGCGGACGCGGGCCTCCGTCCGCCTTCGGGGGGCGGACCAGGCGACTGACGTTGCGCTTCGTCGGCGCTGCCCTCTCGCAACTGAAGAGGGCCGCCACGGTTGCGAGAAAGTCATCTGGAAGGTACTGCAAAAACTGAGGGTGGATGCATAAGCACCCTGCAGCGGTGCGCTCGATGAATTTGGCGATCGCAGCTCGAAGGTCGGAAATCGTAATCCTCGGAAGCGACGGCCAAACGGCGAAATCGGGCGGCATCTCGGGCGCTCGGCATCCGCGGGTCGACTAGGCACTAGCCCACTCGGAGCGCGTCGCGTCAGCCAACTCGCGCGGCTGCGCCCCCTCGGCGGCCTCGATCGTTTCCGGGCCCAGGAGTCCCGGGGCACTCGGGCCCTGGAAAACCTGCGCGCCTGCCGAGCGCCGCCCAAAAACTGGCCCGCGCTCGGACCTTCCGCGAAGCTTCCCTCTGAGCCAAGAAACTGGCCTGCCGGGTCTCGGCCCGGTCCAGACTTCGCTGAACCAGGTCGTCGGTCGCCGGGTCGCCAAAAAACGCCATGCCTGACAGAAGACAAATTCGATTCAGAGGATCCAGCTCCAGCGGCGCCTTCTGCTGCCTCGCCGCGTTCCGCGTGAAGGCCTTGGCCTCGCGCCGCAGCCGCGCCGCCCTCTCTGGCCGGCGCTGCTGCTCGCCTCCTTCCTCGCGCAGCGCGGGAACGTGCATCGAGAGGACGCGTTTGATCTCGCGCGTCTGTCGGGCCCAGCGCGAGCACCGAGCGCCTCGCGTGGCCGCCGCGTGCGATCTGCCGTCTTGACCTGCTGCCAGACTGCTTCACATGGCCCAGCAGGTCCCTCGAAGTCGCTCCTCGCTGGCCCCCGTACGTCATGCCTGTCGAACAGCCCTTGCTCGATGCCGGCGACCGCGCGATCCCAGAACACACTGCCAGCTCATCCGCTGTGCGAGCCTGCTCCACGTCTCGAACAACGCCTGACCAGTCTCTGGGGTAGCGCGCGCAGCGTGGTGGCACCGCCGCTGGCGCCATCTCCGGCTGGCGCGGCGCTCGCGCCCGCGCGGCAGCATCTGGCCCGCGCATCGGCGCAGCAACGGGGCGATGAGGCGACGTATTGGTGAACGACGCACATCTGGAGCTGTCGTGCGCGTGACCATGTTCCCGCTCATCGCGAAAGAATGCGTCGCCGATCCTGGGGGCTCTGCGCGCGCGTCGGGGTCGTAGCGGCGACCGCGGCGCCTCCGACGGCCGCCGCCCAGGACTTCAGCAACCCTGGCTGGATGTTGAAGACAGCGCCTAGGATCCAGTCGAATCCCGCGGCCTGCCCGCGTTGGATGCTGCTGGTAATTTCCGTCAGCGGCGCAAAGTTCGCCGGGCCGAAGAACTCATCGACCCAGAGGTCAACCGAGATAGCGCCTTTTTTTATCCGCGATAACGGGCGTGATCGGGGGGGGGGGCCCGATCGCGTCGCGGCGGGTTTCGGCCTCTCGGGGCCTATTTCCAAACCCCGGGCCCTCGGGAGGAGGAAGATAAGGAAAAGGGAGGGGGGGAAGAGGAGGAAGAGGGGATTGAGGTGGAATTCCTGGGAACACCTTGAGATTATGCTGCTGCTGCTGCTGCTGCTGCTGCTGCTGTTGCTCCTCCTCCTCCTCCTCCTCCTCCTCCTCCTCCTCCTCCTCCTCCTCCTCCCCTTCCTCCTCCTCCTCCTCCTCCTCCTCCTCCTCCTCCTCCTCCTCCTCCTCCGGGGCGGGGAAGGATACTCAAGAATATGTTTGTGAACGTTCGGGGGGCGCGTGTCCATGTGTGTCCCTTGTGATCGTTCGCAGAGCTCGCCTGCGCGACATTTGATCGCGATGGTGCTGCAGGTACTTACGCAACTCTTCCCGTTCACGCGCTTCCCGTTCATGTCAGGAAAGGTATGGACAACGAGCGTTTCGCCTGAGCCATCCTCGCCACATCGTGAAGTTGGGGGTTGTATCTTAAGACGTCGTTTGCTAAAAGTAGGCGTCTCGCATGAGACATTGTTGAGATCGTTGGTCTAATTCGCGGACCTCCACAAATGAGCGTTTCGCCTGAGACATCCTCGACAAAAATGGGATGCGCCAAGCGCTCTTGTAAGGCATTTGTTCGGAGCGATATCGGATGACCTCCAAGATGGCCCAAGAAGCGAATTATTGAAACAACCATGGATGTTGAACAATTTCGCTTAAGACTCAGCGTCTCGCTCGAGACACACCCTAAACAAATCCTTCGCAACATGGCGCTCGAAACCATATGGTTTCCTCCGCTTCCGCCTCCTCCTCCTCCTCCTCCTCCTCCACCTCCCGGTCGCGGACAACAGCGACGACGACGACGAATTCCTGGGAAACCCATGAGATTCGCTGAAAGCCCTGAAAGATTCCGAGGCATGTAGGGAAACATCGCGACGTGATCGGGGGGGGGGGGCGGGGGCGATCACGAGCGTTATGGCCCATAAAAAAAAACAGGCTCGTCACAATGAATCCACCCTTCATCTTCGAGCGCGCATGTTCAGCCACGGCCCTTGACTGAACCAGTTCGCCCGATGGAATCAGTGGCGGGCGGGTGATCTGCGCATCCGTGGGGCACAGCTGTGCGACGCCACTTGTCGACCCCCTGCCTCCTGGGGCCGCCGGGGCATCCGCTGCAACCCACACTCATATCCTGCCGCTCGGAGCCTCGCCTGGGAGGCCCCCAGCTTGTCCCCCGTGAGGTGGTGCTCCTGGCAGCAGAGCACGCTCGGGACTGCCCCCCGCGCTGGCCGCTCAGCCTCAAGCGGCTCAGCCAAGGGCCCATGAGAAAAAATATTAACCGTCACGACCTGCATCGTCAGCGCTGCCAACAAGATCCAGAACTTAAAGCTCGTCGCAGCGCTACTTCTTGGCGAAGCTCGGGAGGTTCTCGCCAGCTCTCTTGACCGCCTCCCGCAACTCCTCGTCTCCATGGGGCACCTGCATGTTGACAGACTGCAGGAAGGCGCGGAGCACCTCGGGATCACCTCCGGCCTGGGGAATCCAGCTCGGCGCCCCACCGCGGCTGCGGCAGCATCTGCGGCACTGGCCGCGGCCCCCGCCGCGCCGCCCGCGCCCGCGCTGGGGGCGCCCGCGCCTCGGCCCGCAGCGTGTGCGGCCGCCTGCCTCGCGGCCTCGGCCGCCTCCACCGCGCGGCGCTGCAGCTCAGCACGACGCGCTGCCTCCGCCAAGCGCGCCTCCACCAGGCAGTCGCGGAACCGCTCCGCCAACTCCCCCGGCCCGCCGAAGGAAGACAGCAGCTCGCCCAGCCGCCCTGCAGTCAACTCCTCCGCCAGGACGGGATGTACCTGGGCCAACGACGGGACCTCGCTCTGGCTCGGCCTCGGCACCTGGGTCACCAGCTGGCGACGCTCCTCCTCGAGCTCCAGGAGCTTGGCGCAGACGCGGTCCAGCTGGACACAGGCCTCCTTGAGAGCCACCTCTGCCGTGCGCACCTTCTCGCGGAGGTCCGACACGTGCATATCCTGCTTCTCCTTCCTCCATCCTCTTCTCCACCTTGAGCCTGGTTTCCAGACTCTTGCCCGCGACAAGTTTCCTTCGCAACTCAACCTGGCGGCACCGCAACTTCTCTCGCGCCTCGACGAGCTCAGCACACGTTACGGACTCGAGGGTCGCCAAGGGCGCACCAATCTCGGCAAACTCACGCTTGATATCGGCGTCGGGTCCCTTGCCGGAGTCATCGGCGTCCATGGTATCGGGCCCACCACCCTGCTGCGACTGCTGGCTCTTGAGCCTTAGTAGCTCCGCCCGCAGCTTCTTGACCTCAACATCCTGACTCCCCCTCCGCCAGCGACGCGGATACTTTTGGAGGGTGGCTAATCGAACTGCTCTTTGAGGCCTCTGAATGCCGTACCCTTGTGCTCCCTACAAAGCTGACGCTTGTCCTAGTCCGCTCTGTTCCACCACCGATCCCCCGTCGAAGTAGACCAGTGCTTACAATAGCACGGTCTGGCCCACGCAACCCTCTGGCGTTTATGCCCGCTCTGGGTGGAACCTGCCCGCGACGTCTCGTCATGCCGAGCGGCGGGCCCCATTAGCCCCCATGAGCGGACTGAGGACAGCTGGAACGTGGCACCTTCCGCCGACCGTGGGGCGAACAACGGGCGGACAAGCCTGGGACGCCGTGGCAGGCAGACCCAGGCGTTCGTGAAATGGAATGCTGTGGGGGGGGCCTCGAGCCTGCCCTCTCGGTCGCGATCAAGCTCCAGTGTCGGGAGTCACGTTGGAACTTGAACCAAAATGGCTACGGACTGGGCACAACATATGGCGGGTTCCGGAAACTCTGAACCAACACGAACCTTGCTTTCTCGTGGGAGCGCACTTTTTACTTCCGCCGGTTTCCATCGACGTCCGCCGAGAAAGAGATGACATCTCCTTCGGTCCTCGAAGGCGAGGTGTGCCCATTCTGGAACGCCTCATATGATACGAGCGTCCATCTCTTCCTCCTTTCCTCTTCCTCCCTCCTCCTCCGCCTCCTCCCTCCTTCCTCCTCCTTCCTCACCTTCCTCGCATCTTCATCCCACTTCACTGCCGGCTCCTCCTCCTCCTCCATGCGGCCCTGCTGACGCACCGCCCCGAAGTGAGAGCAGGAAACCCCAGCGCGGCGCTGCCTGCTTGTCGTGCTCGTCCTCCTGAAGGTCCTGCCCGGCCAGCGGGAGCTTTTGGGCCTCCTCCGCCTCCTCTGCCCCCTGCTCTTTCCGATCTCGCTTGGGGACCCCAGCCAGCCCCAACAGGTGCCACAGACCACGAGCAGCGACGACGGCGCGAGGCCGCCTGGTTAGAGGAAGAGCACAACATACACTTTCGGAGCTCCGCGCGGCTTTGTCGGATCGGCGCTGGCCCCCCCTCCCTGGCGCGCGGAGCGCGATTTGGGCGGTGCTGGAAGCGCCGCCAGGGGGGGCCCCGGCTCCGATCGCAGAAATCCGCGCGGAGCTTCGAAAGTTGCTGTTTACGCATCCAAGATGTATCCCTTGGTCCCTCGAAAGAGGGAAGAGTCGGCGGCGAGCCCACGGTGGCACTCAGAGGGGGCGGGCCTTCTCAGAAGGCTCGGAAGGCCTCTGGCCCTCCGAGAAGTTCTCTGTGCCTTTCCGAAGACGCAGAGGAGACCCGACAGGTTGCAATTGTTAGATTTTGAGAAAGAGCTCCCGTCTTCCTATCCTGCATACCGCGGTCGCCAGATCCCACAGGATCCGGGGAATCCCTGAGTGTCGCGCCTCGCGTCCTCGACGAATGACGACATCCAACCGCGGCCGCCAGACCCCACAGGATCCCGGGAGTCACTGAGTGTCACGCCTCGCGTCCTCGACGAATGGCGACACCTTATGCCGTCACGCCGGCCCGTCAAAAACATAATATAGATATGGTATGACACAACGGAGCATAACTTAGTTGAGGGCTGTAGAATACCGCGGCGACAGACTGACGGCGCCCAACCAAACACAACATACGAGCCGACGTAAGGCTGGCCACAGGAACAAACCGGCGCCGCAACGGACCGATGACACGATATATCAAACGTGACAGGTGTCACGACGTCACGCCGCCCCGTCGAGAACACAACAAAACCAACTCTTTGTGACTAGAGCACACTATAACCGAACATACCGTGCTAGAGTAGAACACAGCAGCGACCGACTTACGGCGTCTTGTCAAACGTGACATGCATGCTGAGTTCAGGCTGGCCACATTAACAATCATCACGATGGAATTCGCAACAACAAGGGGGCCTGACTTTTGGGGGGCTCTGATTTAAGCCCAGGGTGTCTGGGCCCAACGCCGCAATTCCATGGCTAGTTTTGGAGTGTCTACAACTGTCTCTCTGGGAGGGTTGTGGCCCCCTCGCTATTATTGCGAAAACCTGGAGTACCAGACTCGGGAACAAACGCCGAACATTTCAGTGGGGATCGCTCAAAGCAACATACGGTTTATGCACATGTTTCTTATTCGACTGGTTGCCCTCGCTGTGCCCTCCCGCCCCCATCCACATCTTCGAGGAACTTCGCGGCCAAGCACAGCACTACCACCATGACTCCGATCAGCACGCCGCCTGCCCGCGACACCAGGCCCCGCAGATCCAGGTCCCTGCTGGCCCGCATGGCGAAAGCCCACCCCTGTAAGGATTGAGACATGGAACTCGCAACGCGCAATTTTGAATGTGCTCCTCGCAACAACACTGAAAGGAAACCAATGCGGGGGGGGGGAAACCATTTTTTTGGGGGGGGGGGAGCCGGAATCGGCGATTCCTTGCCGACAGATCGGCGAGAGGCCCCCCGACAGCGAATCCGCCCGCGCTCCTGGGCGGGACGGGCTGTCGGGCCTCTGTCGGCGATGACTGGGCGATTGGGGGCCGATGCACCCCCCCTGAGCCTATGGCCCTCTGTCGCTGCCCTGGCGAGCAGGAGCGCCAGCAGAGAGGGAGGACTGCGCGCGCCACGGCGGCGTGAGGGGCGCACGGCAACCGAGGACCAGGACAGCCAAGGCCACCGCCGATGGAGCAGGGCCAAGACCAGAGAGCACGAGCAAGGCGGAGGGGGGGTGGCTCGACCGTTCGACAAGCGGCAAGCATGTGCTTTTCGGACGTTTGCGAGTAGGCACTTTGCGAGTAGTGGAACGCGCTCGATGAAGCAAGGGGGAGGGGGGTGGCTCGACCATGTGTCCCCCGGACCCCCGACGTGCAGGGAAGCGAAGATGCTGGCCGCTGCCCTGGGGTCCGAGCAGATGGGGTCGGAGGATCGTGCCGCATCGCCGATGTATCGGCGATGCTTCGGCGATGCATCGGCGACGCTAGCGTGCGAAAACACGTGCTCCACATCAAGCCGCATCGTCGATGCATCGGCGATGCGGCGCGATCCTCCGACCCCATCTGCTCGGACCCCACCTGGGAGGCCTAGGTGGGCCCTGGACCCGAGCCCGGGCCGGGGCCCAGGGGGCAGCAACACCTGTCTGATTGCAGTCGTTGCCTCCTCCCTCGGGCCAGCCACAGGAGCTCACGGGCGCGAGGCAGCAGGCGGGCCGCCGCGGCGGCCCGAGCACGCCCTGCTGGCTGACAGAGGCCCAGTAGCAGCTACGCACACAGGGAAAGGGGACGGCGAGGGGACGTGGCGGACGACACGGCCTGGTGAGCACACAACCACCGCAGAGAAGCTCCATCACCATCCTGAGACAACGCTGCCGCCCGCTTGGCCTCCTCGTCCTCCTCCTGCTGCTCCTCCGTTGGCGGAGGAGCCGAGCCTCACCACTGTCCTTCAGTCACGGGCAGCTGGATCATGCCGTTGCGAACACAGCGGCGTGGAGCAGACACGCGTTGCAGCCTCCAGGAGCAGCAGAAACAAGTACAGCGGGCACTCTGGGACGCCTGTTGCACACAGGATGCAAACAACGTTCTGCTTGCTGCCACCCGTCCCCGCCGTAAGTGTACACCTGCCGGATGGTCATCTCTGGCCTCCCCACTAAGACTCTTGAGCGCAACCAAGTGGTGGTGAACACGACAAAAGAGCAGACTTTGGGAACGAGGGGCCAAGAGAAGATGCGGAGCGAGACGAAGACGGCAAAGGGCCGCAGCTCGACGAAGTGCATCGAGGACACAATAGGGCAGGAGGACGGCGACGAGGAGGGCAGGGAGGAGGGTGCAGAGGGGGGATGCGGACCGAGGCGCAGGAGATCACGCACTGAAGACTGGGGGCAGGCAAGGGCAACGGACCGGGAGAGGAGCCTGAGCAGGCAAGCACTCCGCAGAGGCAGACTTGCGGGCTGCGAGGGGCAAGTTGTCTGCAATGACCATATTATCTCTGCGCGAGCTCTAGAAAGAAACTGCAATGATCCTGGACTGCTGTTTGGCCCGTTTGAGCACCCGTCTGAATCTTCGCCAGGGGTGCTGGCCTGCCGAGCTGCCGGTCGGCAACCAAACTTTTGGCCGTCTCTGCCCCAGCGATCGGCGATGCGACCCCTGTGCAGGTGCCGCACGTGCAAATCTTACTCTAAACTTATCAACTTGTTCGATGTTGAGGGGGGTACAAGAAGAGAGAGAGAGAGAGAGAGATACGGAGACAGTCAGAGAGAGAGAGAGAGTGAGCGTTTAGACCCGAATCGCCAAAAAGAGGGGCATGCGAGACTTGTCGCCCAGGGCTGGGGCCTGCAGAAGCGGTAGCATCGGAACTCTGCTCAAGTGTGCGCGCGAGAGCGAAGATGCAGAAACTGGTGGAGGACGCCGAGACATACAATGCACGGTGTCTGAACTCAACTGGCTGACCAGGTCGCGCCAGCGTGTGCCACTAGTGCAGCAACGGCCGTGAATATTCAGCGAGATGGCGTGTGGAGCCGTACCAGCAACGCGCGCGCACTATCGCAACACATCTACCGCCCCAGCACGTACTCGAGCAGGCGGGGCGTGTGCCGCTGGGCAGCGCCATGCCCCGAGAAAATGCAGCCCGCTGAGCGCACGGCTCTCGCGCAGCCCCGATCCCGAGCGCCGCTGGCCGCGATGACCTCCTCCTCCTCCTCCTCCTCCTCCTTCTCCTCCTTCTTCACCTCCTCCTCCTCCTCCTCATCATCCTCCTCCTCTCCATATTCCTGTACCTCCTCCTCCTCCTCCTCCTCCTCCTCCTCTCCATATTCCTCCACTTCCTCCTCCTCCTCCTCCTCCTCCTCCTCCTCCTCAGATTCCTCCTCCTGCTTCTGCGAGGCCGCCCAGCTCAGGAGCAGTCAGCATCGCATCGCTCAATCGGACCGAGTCGGGGAGTGCGTCGGATCGGGCCGCAGCAGCACGCAGTCGGAACCGAATCGGATCGGCCGCGCCTCGATGCGCGACAACCCCATGCAAACATCGGGCCGCATCAGATCGTCGGAATATCGGAATCGGATCGGGCTGGCCAAATCTATCGAGACGGATCGAAATGAACCCTGCAAACGGGGAAGCACTCGGGCTCTGCGAGCTCCCCGTGATCAGGACGATGCCCCGCGGCTGCCTCTTCGTGGGGGCCGTCTTGTCGGCCTGTGCCGAAGACTCCGCCGGCTTGGAGGCCCCCTGCTCCAGGACCTGAGACACTGGAGAGGGCGAGATGGAGGGGGGGGGCGAGATGGAGGGAGCGGGCGATGAGAGGGGAAGAGAAGAAGAGAGAGAGAGAGAGAGAGAGAAAAAAAAAAACATAAACAAACAATCTGGGGAGGGGCAGAGGGGGGAGAGGCGAAGGAGAGGTAGAAGTGGTGGGGAGAACATGGGGGTATGGATGGTGTTTGTAGACGTGGGGAGCAAGGAGAACGAGGAGACGGGACAAGGGGGAGGAGGGAAAAGAGGCAGAGGATGGAGAGGGGTGATGGGGCAAGCTAGGTGTGCTCGCGCCATATCTGATATCCTATCCCTCCCACCCGTCCCTTTCTATTGCGCTGAGTTCTTCTCTGTCCAGGCCCTATCTGAAAAAGCGAGCACAGGAGGAGGTGGCGAATTAGCAGGAGGAAGAGGAGGAGGTGGAAGGAAGAGGACGATGACGAATAGCAGCAGCAGCAACTGGAGTGGAAGGAGCGAGGGGAGCCGAAGGACCAGGGGAAGGCGGAGGGGAAACGAGGGGGGCGACAGCGACGAGGAGGGACTCGGATTCAGAACCTGGCCTTCGTTGGGGCGAGAGCGCCGTCCGGAACGACGTCCAGAACCACGGGGGCAGAGCCCCGATCCTGAAACGAGGCCCACGCTGCAGCGGGAGCACCACTCTGGAAGGACGGGGACCGCGCGGAGGGGGAACGCGCACCCAATTCAAAAACTGACTCGAGGATCGAGTCCCGAGGATCGAGACTCGAGGGTCGAGATTCGAGGATCGAGGATCGAGCTTCGAGGATCGAGCTTCGAGGATCGAGATTCGAGGATCGAGGATCGAGATTCGAGGAACGCGCACGCAATGAGACCGACTCGGGCCCCCTCCGGTGTCGCAGGACCAGTGCGACGAAGGGGGGCGCGCGACTCTCTCGGGCCGTCTCTGAGGTGGATTGGAGAACAGCTGTCATACTGTTCATACCAGTCGGTCGAAGAAGTGGGCAGAGGAATGAGGTATGTTCTCCTCCTCCTCCTCCTCCCTCGTCAGCCTCCTCCTCCCCCTCCTCCTCCACCTCGCTCGTCAGCTTCCTAGCTTATCCTCATTCTCCTCCTTAGGGATGCGGTGAATGCAGATTAGGCTTCTGTCCGCCCCCTGAAGAGGAGGGAAGAGGGGAAGGCACTCGATCATTGAAGTATGGAGGCACCTACACTAGAGTGGGATCTGGGAATCAAGAAATACCTGTAATTGTTAGGTAATTGTTTGGTAATTGTGGAAGGGAGTTGGGGTGGACGGGGGGAGGAAGAGGAGGGAGAGGAGGGGCAGGGGAGGAGGGGCAGGGATGGGGGGGGGGACGCGGAGGTCAATGAGAATGAGCAGCGCGGCATCCGCAGCGAACGATCGGTGACCAATGACCGACGCACGAATCATGATCAATGAAAGATGGCCGATGGTCATTGTTGGAGACGCGCACAGGTGGTTTGGGGGAGGGGGGAAGGCTTCTCAGAATGAGGCTGCTTCTAAGAAGGCGCGGGCCTGACACCTGCAGACAAGGCCTGGGCCTTCCAAGAACCAGGGGTGTTTCTACGAAGCCTTCCCCCCTCCCCCTACCCCGCTCTGCGCGTGGCCGACATTGGTCGGTGGATCATGACCCACGGCATGTGTGTCACGATTCGTGAGGGTGGCCGCTCAATGAAGAGCAATCCGCAGTGGCCAATGACCACTGATCTGGGACCGTGGCGATGCTCGTCTTCCCCCCTCACGCACACGATACCAGACCGACCCGATTGTGATGTTTGGGAACCCATGAGCCCGAATTATTGTCATCACTTCGGGTGCGATTCTTGCTTCCGCCAACTTCGGCTGGCGGAACCGCCTGCGTTTGGCTTCCGCCAGCTTCCGTGGGGAAGCGGCAGCAACCCCGTCGATCCCAGAAGGCGAGGCCCTCTCGGGATAGCCCCGAGAGCCCCGATAATGCTATGTGGCCTACGCCGCTGGCACACATGACGGGGATCACGACGTTGGAAAAGCTGGCAACGCGATCTCCGCATGGAGCGAGCGGGCGCGCTTGGAATGAGCATCGTGACAGCAGTGGCTGGGCGAAGGTGGAACTGGCTGGGCTGACGGGGCTGGTTGCGCCCGCCAAGAGGGCCATAAAAGGACACCCAGTAGGGCCCGAAACAGGTCAACATCATGAGTTGTCCCAGCGAGCTTTCGAGCGATGTTCGCGTCCTCACCTTCGTGGGCTTCCTTTCAGCTCAAGACCGCCCCAGATGCCTCCAAGGCGGCCCCGAAGACGGAGCAAGAGGGCTGGAAGCTTAAATAGCTGCGCTGCTTGGGCTGGCCAGGCCAGCTGGTTTCCTCGGCTGGGCTGGCGGGGCGGTCGGCCTTGCAACAGCGTTGGGCTGCGCGGTGTGCCGTGTGCTCGAGCGGGGGCGCCAGGAGGGATATTCCTGGTAACAACGCTGGCGGCGCGATGTGCGCCGCGAGCGGGCGGGCGCGGGCGGAGCGAGCCTCCCGCCAGCAGCGCTGGCCGCGCAGTGGACGTCCTGAGCGGGCGGACGCGCTCGCTGGAAACGCAACGTCCGCCGCGAGCGAGCGGGCGCGCTTGGAGTGAGCTTCCTGCCAGCAACGATGGCAACACGATGCACATCGTGATTTAGCGGGCGGGCTTGGATTGAGATGCCTGGCGACCGCGCAGACAACGTGGTGTGCGACGCGAGTGGGCGGGCGCGCTCTTAGCAATATTCCTGGCAACAGCGCTGGCAACGCCATGTGAGCTGGTGTGCGCCGTGAGCGAGCGGGCATACTGGGAATGAGCCTTCAGCCAGCAGCGTCGGCAAGAGCACAAAGCGATCGAGCGGGCGCGCTCGAAGCGGCATTTGTAGCAACCGCGCTGGCAACGCGCGATGTCCGCCGCGAGCGGGCGGGCGCGCGGAGCAAGATTCCTGGCAAGCAGTGCTGGCAGCGCGGTGCGGGCGGGGAGAGAAGGGGGCTGGCTCGCAACGCGATCCTTGCCAGTCGCGAGCTTGCTGCCAGCGTCGCTGGCAGCGCGGTGTGCGCCGCGAGCGAGCGGGCGCCCTCAGAGCGAGCTTCCCTCTGGAAACCACGGCAACAGCGCTGGGCAACTCCTGGGAGCGGGCGCGCTCGGAGCGGCAGTTCCTGCCAGGCGCACGCGAGGCTCAGGGGAGGCACGCGGGGGGGGCACCGGCCTCACGCAGACGGCTGGAACCCTAGTCAAGCCCGATGGGCTCGTGCTCACCTCCAGTGCTTTTGTTTACCATCAGCGAGACATGATGTCGGGTATCGACGTCTGGACTCGCACATTTAGGTTCGCTCTGCGGTACTCTGTTGTCAGCGCTGCCAGCAGTTGCCGATTCGTCTCGGTTTGCCGTGCCACGTCGCATGCCAGCCGAAGGTGACCGAACGCGCGGTGGACTATCATTCCACATGTCTGTGCAAACCAACGTGAAATCACACATGTGTGTGCGCAGACAGTAGGTCCGTACGATCATACGTCTTGCTATTAGAAATCTAGGGGCGCATTCGCTGTCCAGCTTGAAGCTTCCAAAGCGGCCCGAGGACTTCTGCGGATCCCTGGTGCATCTGATGGCAGGCTGATCCCTTACATAATCTGCCCTGCAACAACTGCCCCTATTACGTCACGTGAGGAGACATCGTGATCACTTCATGCAGAAACAATTGGCGGCAAAGCGCACTGGGCCTCCTGGTCTTTCAGCCACTGCTCGAAGTCGGGCACCGAAGCCTGCCCGCCCCGCCGCGGCCGGCACAGGGAGCAGCGGCTCGCGCGGGTGGCACTGAAGAGCCCTGCGAAACACTGCGCCACATTTGCGCAGCCATCCCCAACGCCTGCGCGTGTACCATCGGCTGCGCCTCGCCAAGAGCTTCCCGGCGGCGCCAATTTTGCCCCAAACGGCCTTCCGAGGCCCAAACTACTACCGACAAGCAATCGGCAAACAAGCCGAAACTATAGGGGCCCAAACAAGGGCCCAGCAGAGAGAGGCTGAGCTTTGCACGCGTTGCACAGTATCTGCCCCCCAACGTTGTCAGACATCAACAAAGGTTTGCGATTTGCCGGGGGCAGATTTGGGGCAACATCTGCAACAAGCTAAGCCCCTGTCTGCTGAGCCCCTCTGGGCCCATTAGATATGTGGGGACTTGTAAGGACCTGCCGGGGCCCGTGTAATTTTATAGATCTAGTATCGGCTTGCGGACACTTCCGAACATACATGAGAAAACAACAATTCTTCACTGTTCCACGGGCGCAGCCTGTAATTTGTTGATCGTGAGGTAGCCGACTGACTGACTCACTGACTAAACTGAACAGAGACGCTTCGGGGACAATTTCAGCACGGGGTGGTGATTATACAAGGCGGTTGTGTGGCAATTTTGCGCGGGGGGTGGAGGGCACGAGCCGTTTCGGTGGCAGCTTTGGTACGGGAGGGTGTGAAAGGATACGAGGCGATTAGGTGGCAGTTTTAGCGCGGGCGGGGGTGAGGGATATGAGGCCTTAAAGGCAGTGTTAATGCGGGAAGGTGGGGATACGAGGCGGTCGGATGGCAATCTTAGCGCGGACGGGGTGAGGATACGAGGCGGCCTGGTGGCAGTTTTAACGCGGGGGGGATTGACGATATGAAGCGCTGGAGTGGCAGTTTTAGCGCGCGGGGGGGGTGAATATTCGAGGCGTTTTGGTTGCAGTTTTAGCGCGGGCGGGGGTGAGGATATTGGGCGATTGGGTGGCAAATTTAGCGCGGGGAGGGTTGATGATACGAATACGAAGCGTTTCGGTTTTAGTTTTAGCGCGGGGGAGTGCATACAATAATCGAATCGGTGGCAGGTTTAGCGCGGCGGAGAGGGAGGATATGAGGCGCTGGCTATGAGGCACTAGTGGCAGTTTCAGTGCGGGGGGGGGATACAAGGCGGTTGGTGGCAATTTTAGTGCGGAGGGTTGTGCACGAGCAGTTTCGGTTGCAGTTCTAGCTCGGGGGAGGTGAAGATACGAGGCGATTCGGTGGCAGTCTTAGCGCGGGCGGGGGTGAAGGATATGAGGCCATATCATGGCAGTTTTAGCGCGGAAGGTGGGAATACGAGGCGGTTGGGTGGGAATTTCAGCGCGGACAGGGTGATGATATGAGGCGGCCAGGCGGCAATTTTAGCGCTGGGGGGGACGATATAAAGCGCTATAATGGCAATTTTAGCGCGGAGGGTGAGGATACGGAGCGCTTCGGTGTCAGTTTTAGCCCAAGGGGTGTGGGGCGAGGGTACTGGGCGGTTGGGTGGCAGTTTTAGTGCGGGAAAGGTTGATGATACGAGGCGTTTCGGTGTGAGTTTTATCGCGGGTGGGTGAGGACAACAAGCGGTTGCTCGGCAAGTTTAGAGCGGGGGGATGGGGCTATGAGGCGCTAGAGTGGCAGTTTCAGCGCGGGCTGGGGCCAGGACATGAGGTCATGTAATGACAGTTTTAGCGTGGGAAAGTGGGAATACGAGGCGGTTAGGTGGCAATTTTGGCGCGGGCGGGGTGAGGATACGAGGCCGCCAGGCGGCAATCTTAGAGCGGGAGGGGGGCGATATTCCCCAATCAGAGCTTGCCTCTGTAGGGGTCCTAGCGGATTAAAGGTTTAGGTGAGGTGGGTCGCCGATATTCGGTGGCCGGGCCCGGGTGCCCGGGTGCCCGGGTGCCCGGGTGCCTGGCGGTGCCCGGGTGCCCGGGTGGCCGGTGAGGTTGGTCGCGGATTTCGGTAGCCGGGCCCGGGTGCCCGGGTGCCCGGGGTGCCCAATAGCCAAATAGCATATAGCCCAATAGACCAATAGCCCTATCACCCTATAGTTTTATAGCTCCATAGCCCTATAGCCCTCTAGCCCTATAGCCCTATAGCCCAATAGCCCAATAGCCCTATAGCCCCATAGCCTTATAGCCCTATAGCTCTACAGCCTTATCGCCCTATAGCCTTTTAGCCCAATAGCCCTATAGCCCTATAGCCTCATAACCTTATAGCTTTATAGCCCTACAGCCCCATGGCCCCAACACAAATCTGATTGGGTTTTTTCTCCGGTATCATAAAACGCTAGACTTGCAATTTTCGCGCTGGGGGGTGAGGATACGGAGCGTTTCGGGGTCAGTTTTAGCGTGAGGGGGGGTGAGGATACTGGGCGGTTGGGTGGCACTTGCAGCGCGGGGAGTGTTGATGATACGAAGCGTTTCGGTGTGAGTTTTAGCGCGGGTGGGTGAGGACAAGAAGCGGTTGGGCGGCAATTTTAGCGTCGGGGGGTGAGGATACGAGGCGGTCGGGTGGCAGTTTTAGCGTGGAAGGTGGATATACGAAGCGTTTCGGCGGCTGTTTCAGCGCGAGGTTGAGCATACGGGGCGTGTCGGTGGCAGCTTGAGCGCGGGGGGGAGGATATGAGGCGCTGGAGAGGCAGTTTTAGCGCGGAAGGTGGATATACGAAGCGGTTATGTAGCAATTTCAGCGCGGGGGGGTGATGATTTGAGGCAGTTGGGTGGCAGTTTTAGCGCAGGGGGGGGTGAAGATATGAGGCGCTAGAGTGACAGCTTTAACACGGGGGTGGTGGGGATACGGAGCGTTTCGGTCGCAGTTTTAGCGCTGGGTTGGTGAGGATACGAGGCGGTTGGGTGGCAAATTTAGCGCGGGGAGGTGAGGATACGACGCGTTTCGGTGGCAGTTTTAGCGTGGGGATTTAAGGGAGGCGAGGGAGGATAACACGCAACTTGTGTATGTGCTTTTGCAGAGACTAGGTGGGGCGCTGTCTCCATTGGGCGCCTTCCTTATGCGTTTTCCTGATTCCGGGCTTCAGGATCGGATGTGCTTCTCCGCCGACACTTGCACTGCGCTAGCCTCCCTGTGCAGTTCAACCAGCCTCATGACCACGATGCGGAGTCGGCCGCTCGGTTGCAAGCTGGTCTGAGCCTGCAGCTTTCATATCACTGTGCAGCTACAGCCCCCGCCTCCCTCCAGCTGCTGCCGCTGCTGGTCCTCCTCCTCCTCCTCCTCCTCCTCCTCCTCCACCTCCTCCTCCTCCTCCTCCTCCTCCTCCTCCTCCTCCTCCTCCTCCTCCTCCTCCTCCTCCTCCTCCTCCTCCTCCTCCTCCTCCTCCTCCTCCTCCTCCTCCTCCTCCTCCTCCTCCTCCTCCTCCTCCCTCCTCCTCCTCCTCCTCCTCCTCCTCCTCCTCCTCCTCCTCCTCCTCCTCCTCCTCCTCCTCCTCCTCCTCCTCCTCCTCCTCCTCCTCCTCCTCCTCCTCCTCCTCCTCCTCCTCCTCCTCCTCCTCCTCCTCCTCCTCCTCCTCCCCCGTGCGGGCACCCAGGCGCTCCTCCACCTCGCCTCGCCGCGGTGGCCGAGCACCCCACCCACGCATGCGTGGACAGCCAGGCGGTGGTGCGCGGCTTGGACAAGATCCCAGCCGGCGAAGCAGCCCCCGACGGGCCCCGAGCGGACGCGTGGGGACAGATCCAGCGGGTCGCCCGGGCCACTGGGTCCGCCTTCTTTCGGGCTCCTGGCGTTGCACTTTTTGTCGCAACGGGCGTTTTGGCTCCGTGTTGGGCCCCTGGACCCTCACAGATCGATCTGGCTCGAAAAAATACGCAAAAATATAGGGTCTGGAACTGCGGTCGCACTTGTCTGCGTTTTTGCAAGTGCTTCGCAACGTCGGATCTCTGGGTCTTCCGGGTGGAACAGGTCCGCCAGCCACCTGGGCGAGGAAGGCGTCATTGCGCGGCGCTTCGCCGTCCTGGTAGTCGATGAGCTCGCCACCGCGGCCATCGCCAAGCACGAGCGCCTCAGGTTGTCGACGCCACCAAGCGGTGGCACAAGCTGGCCGTGGCGCTCCACCTCAACGGCGGTCAACATCTGGAAACTCCGCTCGCGGACACTGCCACTGCCCCACCGCCGTGCCAGACACACGCAGGCCCAGCTGGCCTCCAGACATCCGCCGACCTGATTTGTCAATCCGCGGCTCCAGAGCTCCCGATGCCCACACCCCGGGGTAGATTTGCGCCCCGGATTTATGTTTCATGGCCCCGAGGCCCGAAAGCGGCTCCTGGTGGGCCGAAGCGAAGGAACAAGCGCACCTCGATTGACACAGATCACGTCGCCAGAGGTCGGCCGCCATGCAGCCTCCTCAAGGGCGGCCTTGGGGCGCGCTGGGGATAGGACGCCCTGCTCGGCGGCGGCCTAGACCAGCAGCGCGCTTGGGCCCAGCTCGACCAGGCCCTCGCGGAGGCGGGACTGCTCGCCGGCGGCGGCGGCCCGCTGAGGCCTCGGGGGCTCGCTCGCCCGAGGCCGAAGAACGACCCCGCGTGGACCCGGCCAGGCCTCGGCTGCGACGATGACGACGACGACGAACCCGCTCAGCGGACGGGGCTGACGTAACTGCCGCCGACGCGCAGGCGCTTGAGGCCCAGAGGAGGTTCCACACCCCCGCGGCGGGTACCGCCGCTTACCCACGAGGGAGCCCCGCGCTGGCCACCCGCCGAACGGATGTGGCTGAAGCAGCGCACGGCAGGGTCACTGTGCGCACTGCGGCGAGCCGACCAGCATGGCCAGCGCTCCGACCGCTGGCGGCCACGACGTGCCCACCTGATCCCCAGACAACCGCGGCTCATACACGAGCGAGCGCGGTCCTGCCTACGGCCACTGGCGCGCCCGCGCGACCGCCAAAGCCCGCCTACGGGCGCCCTACGGCCAGGTCCGACGGGCATCGCACTCCCGGGGTGGTGCCGACCACAGTACGGCGCCGCATCGACGACCTCGAAGACCAGCTGCGGCGTCTTCAGGAAACCGCCGTCCAACCGGGCGCTCAACGTCAACAGCTTTAGGCGCCAAGCTTGAGGTGGCCCAAGCTCACCGGGCTCGAGCGAGCACCGCCCGTTATAGTCACTCCGAGACTGCTGCACACCGTCACCGTCGCGTGCGCGGCCGCTCTCGGGCCGCCGACGCACGCCGCCAATCGGGACTCGCCTTATTGAGCAGCTGCCCGGCGCACCCCGAGGGAAGGGAACTCCCAAAGGGCCTTCTGCATCGGAAGGGCTGTCCCTGGCCATGCCTGGCCGCAGTCCAGTGTTCTGACTTGTGCGCACTTCTGGAAGCTTGGTGCCGCCGCCTCTCGGGCTTGCGCTCGGCCACCCAGCTCGTCAGCCACGCTGCCCGCCTCGTGTCGGCTCCGCAGCCTCGCGTCCGCCGAAAGGTAGAGACTTGCGCGCCGCAGGCAGGAACGCCTGGGACTCTTTGGGGGCAGTGCTCCCCGCGACCCTCTGAAACGCCTGGCAGTGGCCGCAAGTGCTAAGCGGGCCTCTGACGTGTACAGTGGGCGTGTGGACGACTCATCATCCGAACTTGCGCGCTCTCGCCTCACCCTGTTCTTCCTTTTCCTTTTCCTGCTCCTCCTCCTCCTCCTCCTCCTCCCAACAGCAGCAAAATGAAAGGGACGAGGGGAGGAGGGGTAGGGGCACGAGAACTGAAGGGAGGGGAAGAGCGAGGCATGATAAGGAGGGGGCCCAACACGCGTGCGTGCGACATACCAGTCCCCAGGGCCGCCGTGGCTGGCAAGACACCGGGGGATCGGTGCGCTCACAGGCCCGCCCCTGAGCATTGACCTCCTCTCCCCCTGCCCTTTCTCCATGTCTTACTCCGCGCTATTCCCGGCTCTCGCCCACCTGGGCACTGGGCCGGCTGGTGGGCTTAAGGCGGGCTGATGCGCGCTGTGCAAGGCTCGCCCCCCCCCCCCACACACCCTCCGGTGGCACAGCGGGCAGGCTCAGCCCTGCGCCCGTGCTGACGGCACAGCTGGCGGTTCCAGCTCGTGCATACGACCCGCTCCTGCTTCTTCCCTCCCCTCCTCCTCCTCTTGCCTGCCCTTGCTCAACAATTACTCCAGTCTCCCCTCGCCCTGCTACGCCCTCCGCCCGTCTCTGGCTTGCTCCGCACTTCCGTCCCGCCCTTCTCTTCAGCCTCCACCCGCTTCCCACCCCTCGCCCTCCACTTGCGCACCGCCTCGCCCTCTCCCGCCTGCGCCCCGCCCTGCCTCGCCCTGATACTTGCCGACCAAAACGCCGTCCTCCGTGGCTGGCTTGCGCGCTCGCGCGGGGAGTGGAAACACGGAGAAGGAGGAAAAGGAGGAGGGGGGGGGAGGCGGGAGGGGGGATGGAGGAAGGAGGAGGGATGAGGGATGGGGGATGGAGGAAGAGGGGGTAAGGAGAAGAGAGGAAGAAGCAGAAGCAGGAGGAGGAGGAGGAGGAGGAGGAGGAGGAGGAGAAGAACGAATAATGAGTGGACCAAATATTTACGGAAATGGGGGGAAGGAAAACGGAAGGCTGGGAATGGGGAAACAGGAGATGGAGTGTGCCTGGGAGGATAGGAGGAGTATGGGGGAGTAGGAGGACTAGGAGTAAGAGTATTCGTAGTCGTAGTCGTAGTACAAATTGGGGCACGAGGGGAAAAACTACTATCCTATGGGTCGAGGCGAGACGGGCCGAGATTGAAGGCCCATGTCTCTTCGGTGCAAGTCGTCTTCTTTGAATTCATCTTCCGGCGGCGTAGATGCACGCCGCGCCATGCGCCTGGCCTGGGCGGGCGGGCGCCCCCGCGGAGGGGTGGTGCGTGGGGGGGGCGGCTTGGTTTGTCGGAGGCAGCCCTGGGTGCCCGTTGCTCGGACATCAGCCGTGCAGCTGTTGCGCCCGTGCGAAGCGCTGCGGTTCCCGTCTTACGCGACGCGGCCTCGGTGGAAGCCGCGGCCCCGCGGATCGCCCTCTTGCGCCCCGCCCGCCGTGCCGCGGCGCCAGGCCCGCGGGCTCCGAACGCCCCCTCTTCGTTATCGTTGTTGGCGCGATTGGGCTGGCAGAGGGCCGCGGGGTTTTCCCGCTCTGCCCGCCGCGCATCTGCGAGCGCGTTGCCTGGGGGGGGGGGGGGGCGAGGGGGCGTCGGGGCGCGGGACTGTCGCCAGCTTGCCACCGCTCGCAAGATGAGCATCGTTTGCACGGCGCTTCCGCCTGTTGCCGCGCGCGACCTGGAGGGCGCGTCCGCGGGCGGCGCCGAGCTCCGTGGCTGCCGGGGCGAGGTTCTTCAAACCCCTGCGGATGCTCCCCGCGCGCAGATCGTCGCTCGCATTGGCGGCGATCTCAGCCGCCCAGTCAGCGTTGGAGTCGTGGACGCGAACGCGGACTGCCTCGGCGCTACGTGCCATGCGCTGGCACCCTGCGTTCGACGGCAGGAAATCTTACGAGAAATGTGCTGACGACGATTTGCCTGCCTCGGAGTGCACCGCATCCAGGGCGGCGACGTCGAAAGCTGCCGTCGACGCGGCCGCCGTGGGCGCGAGGGGCCCGAGCGTCCGCCCGCGCGCGCCGCGAGATGCGAGGGCCGCGAAGGCGGCCGCGACGGATGTCGGGGGCGTCATCTTCGGCGAGAGCAACGTCCACTATCCGAGGCCCATTGCAGCCCGAGCCGCTTGCGCGAGGAGGTAGTCGCGCTTGGAGCGCGCTTCGGCCGCCCGGAAGACGCGCGCGACGTTCGCATTGGCGGCCGCAGCAGTCGCGCCCACGACGGGCGCAGATGCCTGCCTCCTTGCGACCTGAGCAAGACTGGGGTGGACAGGCGGCCCAGCAGCTGCCGGCCCGAACCCGAGATCATTGAAGCACGCCGTCCTCCTTGCTTTGGCGCCGCGGCCCTCGTCGTCGGACAGCGCTAGGGCCGGGGTGTTAAGGCGCCGAGGGGTTACGAAGTCCTTGTAGCGAATGTGTCGCGCCCGGCACAGTGCGCAGCCTCCTGCGGCCGAGGATTGCGAGTGCGCCATTCGGGGCGCGGTTTTCCGCGGCAGCGTCGTTCTACACAAAATCGTAGAAGTAGAATCTGTGAGCAGCGAGCCCCTCTGGTTTGACGAAATTGTCGGCCGCGTACTTCTTGAAGAAAGGCTTCGCCGCGGGAGTAAAGTGGCCGCCCGTCGCTCGCTCGTTTGCGGTGTTCTCTGCGGGGCCCTTCAGAAATGAGCCGACGTCGCCTGTCGTCCTGAAGTAATCGGCCGCTCGCTCTGCAACTCCAAAGATTGTCTCCATGCGGAAGGCAAGCTCCTCGTTGACACTGCGGAAGAACTTGTCTGGGTAGTCTGCGGGAGGGCAGCTATCCATCCGCCCTTCCGGCCTTGGATGACGGCAAGGCAAACCAAATCTGGAAAACTGGCGCGACATCTTCGCCGCTATCTGGCAGACCAGCAACATCGCCCCTTCCACTGGCTGCGGCGTCCGCCGCGTTTGTCATGTTACCTCGTGTCGAGTGCGTTCGCTTTCGCGTAGCCCGCGTTCCTCATGACTGCAGTTTCTAACGCCGCGACGCACGCTGCTGCGAAACACATGGGGCTCCCGAAATCGCCCGCGTTGTGGTTCACAGGGCATGCAGGACACCCTATGTTTGACATCCAGAGAGGGACCAAAATGCCCCCAGCGACGTAGCGTTCCGAGAGCGAACTCATACCCTCAACCTTCTGATGGCTGCACTGGATGCGCCCGGTCGTCCAAGAGGAAACGATGCTGAACGAGAAAAACTTCTCGTCCGGGGCCCTAGTTGTGTCGGCTATGCTTGCGTAGAATCGCTCGGTGCCGTAGAGGTTGCCGCAAACACCACCACCCACTCCCTGCGGTGCTGCCCGTGGCCCCGACGCGGCGCCATGAAAGTGAAGCGGCTGCGCGGGCTACGCCCGGGCCGCGGCCCCTGGAGCGCACAGCGCGATGTAACCATGGTTTGCTGGAGCATCTACTCGTTTTCTTCGGCGCCGATGATGCGGGCGCCCAGCTCGGCGGCGGTGGCCAACAGGGTCAACGCGGCGGTCGGCGACTCCATGGCTGGAGAAACGAAGGGCATGCGGAAAATTATGTCCCTGGGCATGCAGGCTGATGCAGGAAGTGGCCAAATATGTATGCTGAGACACCCCTGGCAAAGGAGCCTTCTGAGGCTTTTACGTAGGCCCTTGCTCTTGACCCTCGAGCTTGCGCCAAAGGTGAGCTATTCATCCGTGTTGCGTGTTGCATGTATTCGTTTCGGATCGTCGTGTATTTCGTTATGGCAGGTCGTTGGTGGTTGACCATGGTTGTTGTGCACGTGTGCCCTTGCTTGGTCTTTGTGCATGGCTTGATGTATGTTGTGTATGTCAGAGGTTGGGGGGTGAGATCGCAGTGAAAAGGAGACCCCCCGCCGGGAAATCGGCTTCGCTTTCGCGTTCGTGTCGTGCGTGCGGGCGAGGCGAAGCTGCGCGTGATCCTCCTGTAGCTAAGCCGAAATAGGAACGAAAATCCGTGTCCCGTCCGCCGGTGTCTAGGAGGTGTCCCAGTTGGGCCGGGCGGTGTCCCAGGTGTCCCAGGTGTCCGTAGGAGCGGAAGTCCGTTTCCCGTCCGCCGGTGGCCGGGAGGTGTCCCAGTTGGGCCGGGCGGTGTCCTGGATGTCCCGGGTGTCAGTAGGAGCGAAACTCCGTTACCCGTCCGCAGGTGGCCAGGAGGTGTTCCAATTGGGCCGGGCGGTGTCCCGGGTGTCCCGGGCGTATTTCATAATTCATATTGTTCGGCACCTGCGGCGGGCATTCTTATCCAATCCAGCTTATCTGTTCCAATCCACATTGTCCAATCCAATCCATCTTATCGACCCCATCTTGTCCCAGTTTAAATTATTCCACCCAATCCAATCCACCCAACCCAATCCATCAATTCATTTGTTTCTGCGCCTGCGGCGGGCCAATCCAATCCATCTTGTCTTATCCAGTCCACTTTACCCATCCAACCCATCTTATCTTATCCAATCCGTACTATCCCATCCAATCCAATCCACCCAACCAATCCATCAATTCATTTTTGTCGGCGCCTGCGGCGGGTTTTTTCTCCAATCCAGCTCATCTGATCCAATCCATCTGGTCCAATCCATCATATATTATCCAACCCATATTGTCCCATCTTATAGTAACCCATCCAATCCAATCCATCCAACCCAATCCAAAGATTCATTTGTTTCTGCGTCTGCGGCGGGCCAATCCAACCCATCTTACATTATCCCATCCATTTCTTCCAATCCAAACCCATAATGTATTATGCCATCCATCTTATCCACAGCCAATCCAATCCAAGACTCTGATAGAGAGGGACAGACAGAAGGCGAGAGAGAGAGAGAGAGAAAAAGAGAGAGAGAGAGAGATGATATCAAGGTGACAGGCTGGAGGTCAGTCAGAGTGGGCATTTGATCCCAATCCCCCCCAACCTCCTGATCGCCCGCCAGGCGGTCGCGTCGGTATCACATTGGTGTTCGTTGGTGATGCATGTTGTTGGTGTGAATTCGTGGTGCCCGCTGCCGACGCCTGCCTTCGATGCAGGTTATTGGTGGCAACGACTGGTGTGTGCATTTGACATGTACTATGCGTACACGTCCTTTGTGCATGTTCTTTGATGTGTGATCGGAGGTTGGGGGGTGAGATCGCAATGAAACGGAAACCCCCCACCGGGAAATCGGCTTCGCTTTCGCGTTCGTGTCGTGCATGCGGGCGAGGCGAAGCTGCGCGTGATCCTCCTGTAGCTAAGCCGAAGTAGGAGCGAAAGTCCGTTTCCCGTCCGCCTGTGGCCGGGAGGTGTCCCAGTTGGGTCGGGCGGTGTCCTGGGTGTCCCGGGTGTCAGTAGGAGCGAAAAACCGTTACCCGTCCGCCGATGGCCGGGAGGTGTCCCAGTTGGGCCGGGCGGTGTCCTGGATGTCCCGGGTGTCAGTAGGAGCGAAACTCCGTTACCCGTCCGCAGGTGGCCAGGAAGTGTCCCAATTGGGCCGGGCGGTGTCCCGGGTGTCCCGGGTGTCCCGGGCGTATTTCATAATTCATATATTTCGGCACCTCCGGCGGGCTTTCTTATCCAATCCAGCTTATCTGTTCCAATCCATACTGTCCAATCCCATCCATCTCATCTTATCGAACCCATCCTGCCCCAGCTGAAATTCTTCCACCCAATCCAATCCACCCAACCCATCCACCCAACCCAATCCATCAATTCATTTGTATCTGCGCCTGCGGCGGGCCAATCCAATCCATCTTGTCTTATACTATCCAATACACTTCTTCCAATCCAACCCATCTTATCCAATCCATCTTATCCCATCCAATCCAATCCACCCAACCCAATCCATCCATTCATGTTTGTCGGCGCCTCCGGCGGGCTTTCTTATCCAAACCAGCTTATCAGCTCCAATCCATCTTGTCCAACCCAACCCATCTTATCTGATCCAACCCGTGTTGTCCCATCTTATCTTATCCCACCCGATCCAATCCATCCAACCCAATCCATCAATTCATTTGTTTCTGCGCCTGCGGCAGGCCAACCCAATCCATCTTAGCTTACTCAATCCACTTTTCCAATCCAGCCCATCTTATCTTATCCAATCCTTCTTACCCCATCCAATCCAATTCAATCCAATCCACCCAACCCAATCCATCAATTCATTCTTGTCGGCGCCTGGGCGCGATCGCGGCAGACTGCGAGGCTCGAGCGTTCGGTGCCCTTGCCTTTCGCAAGCCGCCGCATGGCGTCCCTCCGTCCGCCTGTCATGGCGTCTCCCGCGGCGCGCATTCTCCGCGCGGCGCTCCCAGGGCCAGGCGCTGCCAGCCTTGGGGGCGGTGGCGCGGGCCAGGCTCTGCCAGCCCTGACTGGCGCGGCCTGCCCAGGGTCGCGCAGGGAAGCGCAACGGTTCGAATACTCCCCGCACTCTTTGGCCCGCTTCGTCGAGGTGGCCCTGGGGCACGCCGCGACGGGCCAGGACTTCTACGACGCGCTCGCAAACGTGCCTGGCGTTGCCCAGGTGCCGGGGGGGGGTCCTCCCCCATACTTGGCTGCCGGGGTGGGGTGGGGTGGGGGGCGGCTGAATTCGCCGGGGGGGGGGGGGCGGCGGCGGAAGGGGGTGCGGGTGGCGGCATTCCTGGACGAGTCGGTTCGCCTATGCGAGCGCAAGGGCCAGGCGCTGCCAGCCCGCTGCGCTCGGAGCCAGGCGCTGCCAGCTCGATGTCGTTTCGGTGTGTGGGAGCAACCAAACAGGTGAAATGGCAGAGCCGCAAGTTGGACATGGGCAACGTGGGCGACCACTACATGGAGAAGAACGTGCTCGTGTACGTGCACGGCGCGGCCAGCGCGCCGCTCGTGTTCGACCTGACGCGCAACAAGCACATGCAGGAGGTGGAGGGGCGGGCGTTCACTGTGACGGCCTGCTTCACGAACCCGCCCCAGCACCTGGTCGCCCAGGCGTGGCGAATTCTGCTCGAGGTCTGCAGGGGCAAGGAGCTGTTGCTGGACCATGCACGTCAGGGGCTACTGCCGCCGCGCGGTGGCCCCGGCGGGTCAGGGTGTGCCCGAGGACCTCCTCTTGACGCTGGAGCAGGGCGCCGACGCCGGCGAGGGGCCAGGTTCTGCCAGCTCCGGCGGCGCCCCTGCTAGCTCCAGCGGGCCCCCTGCCCCCAAGAAGAGCAGGTGTGCCAGCCCGCAGCGCGGGCCAGGCCCTGCCAGCTTTGCGCCGCGGGCACCCGTCGTTCCAACGGCCGCGGGGGCGGCCGCCTCCACGTATCAGTTCAGCGGGCCAACCGCGCCGCCTACGGCCGCGGTTCCGCTCGTTCCGACCGCAGCGCCGCCGACCCCTTCGGCGGCGCTCGTTCCGAAGGCGGCGGCCCCAAATCCTGCCGAGGTGCCTTCGCCGCTTGCGGTTTCGCCCGCTCCGAAGGCAGCTGCGCCGACCTCGGAGGCGGCGCCCGTTCCGAAGGCAGCGGGCCCAAATCCGTCGGAGGTGCCTTCGCCGGCGGCCCTTGCGTTGCAGGGGCCATGCGCTGCCAGCTCTGCGGCCGCGCTGGATGCAGCGGGGCAGCGCGCAGAGTACTCGCAAAGGGAAGTGGCGGTGGGCGACAAGAGCGAGGTGATGAGCGAGGAGCCGGGGCCAGGCTCTGCCAGCTCTTGTCTCGCAGGGGAGGACCAGCAAGCGGATTTTGTCCCAGACTACACGCCAGACGAGAAGGACATGGGCCCCGAGTTGGTCAGCGCGCTGGCCAGGGAGTACACGGAGGCGGCGCAGGGAGAGGCACGGAACGCGATCGCGGCGGCCGATGCCCGCTGGGACATCCTGCCGTCGTATC